GAACCGTTGAGTTTTGAGAAAATTGGATGGCGCCATTAAATTCTACGCACATTAAAACCTAGGAAATAAATTTAAAATTTCAAAAAAACATAAAAAATAAGGTACATACATGTATGCAAACAATTAATTTAGAAATGAGTGAAAAAAATAATTAATAATCAAAATTCATTTTTATGGAAAATGGTTTTTACCATTAAATTCTACACCCTTTAAAGTGTAGGAAACAACTTTAAAAATCCAAAAAAACTCAAAAAATAAGTGGTAAAAAATTATATACAAAACCGTGTTTAAACGCGGAAACCGCGTGCGCTGTGCCGCAGCAAAACCGCATGTAAACGCGGAAAAACTGTGTTTTTTTATTAATGCCCTCAATGTAAATACACATTTATTTATTTATTATTTTAACAACAATGTATAATATTTTCCTGTATTCAATTAGTTATTATTATTTGCAGTTACTAGGTACATTTCACGTACTGTGAAAGGTGCTCTGTGGCTGACATACTGCTGCTTGTAATCAGCCTAGTCATTACTATTACTGCGGTTATTGAGCCTCAAAATTCCTCAAGAAACTCCCCATTTATCACCCAGCACCCAAAATCAACCTCCTTGAGCGCTTCCACCTGCCCTGTTTCCACTTTGAAAATCCTCAGGACCTTGAAGGATTATTACTAGTAGTAATAACCCTTTTCTTGAGATTTTCCCCTTCAATTCTTCCTGGGATTTAAACCACACCTGTTCACAGGCCCCAGTTTTCCAGGTACCTAAATCCTCTGCTTTTGCACGATACCTTAGAGGGATTAAACTACCCCTGATTTATCAGGCCCCTCTGGTTTTATTTATACTAATTTTATTAAAATAAATTGGCCACTTTTTCCTTAGAAATTAACCCATAAAACCCCTTATTTTATTGGAATTTATTCACTTAAAATTAAAACCAAAAGTTCAATCAACTTTTGTTTGTATTTGCACCACGTGTAGCTAGAAGATTTTACATCTTGGCATCACGTAGGCTGACACATATGGCCAATCTCTCCCACTTTGAGGGGGGTTGATAAGTGCAAGCCAACCCCCCTTGCGCACACCAATCTGCTTCAAGGTTGATTGGCTTGCAGGTCCTAAACCCATATTAATATGGGTTTAGGACCAGGGCTATCCCATAGGACCCAGGCATGGGTCCTATGGGATAGCCTATGTAGTGTTTGAAAAACAAAAAATGTTGATCCTTGTAGGACACCCAAGGTCAACAAGGCCCACCATGCCAGCCAGGAGGGAATCCTCCTGGTCGACAAGGTTGTACAGCCTCGTTGGCCAGGATTCCCTGGCGTACAACCTCGCTGGCATTCCCCCCTGGCGGCGAGGTTGTACAGTGCCTAGACAGTGAAAAGTGGCTGCTTATTTTGGATTCCAGAGCTCCAAACCACAAATTTGAAATCATCAGACTTGGTCAGGTGGTGCATAGTAGGTCCCAAAAAATGAATATGAAATAATAAAAGCAAAAAATAAAGTTTCAAAATTTGTGAAAAATAAAAAACAAAATTGATTTTTTTCAAAAGCTTTGATATTCATTTTGGGGTAGTGGGAGTGCTGAGACAAAGAAAGATTGGGAAATGAGAAGAATGATTATAAATTAAAATTTTAGAAAAAATGGACTTCAGATGGCTTCAAACAGCTGTTGAGTGGGGCATTCACCAGCCCACATTGCAGCAAAGCACTAGAATTTACTGTTTTGGCTCCAATCTGGACCACCAACCTGGCCAAACCTTTTTTGGTTCCAATTTTTTTTCATTTATAATCATTCTTGCCATGTTCCATTCTTTCTTTCTGTCAGAACTCCCACTCCCCCAAAATGAATATCAAAGCTTTTGAAAAAATCAGGTTCATTTTTTATTTTTCACAAATTTTCAAACTTTATTTTTTGCTTTTATTATTCCATATTCATTTTTTGGGAGCTATTATGCACCACCTGAGCAAGTCTCATGACTTCAAGCTTGCTTTCCAGAGCTCTGGAATCCAAAATAAGCAGTCACTTTTCACTGTCTACCCACTGTACAACCTCTTGGCCAGGATTCCCTCCTGGCCGGCGAGGCTGTACAACCTCGTCAACCGAATCCTCCCTGG